TTTTTAATTTCAGAACAATCATCAGTTCCCATTTTTCCTGATGTTATCTAAAGCAATGATGGTGAATTAGTAATTATTTGAAACTGGCTCATAAGCAACAAGAAAATTTTTAAATAAAAAGATAATAATAATTATTAAAAAATTAAAAAAATAAAATATTTCAACCATTCATGCTAAAAAAAAAAAATTTTCAGAAACCCCATAAGTAAGAGTTTTGCGTGGCTGATCCCTAAAAAATGCCAATGAGGTTTCAATGCAAAGAATCTCTTGGCCTAAAATGAATTCCTAAAACCCTACTGTAAGTAATCTCTTTAAATATTAGCGTAATCACTTCATTACTTGCCATAAAATAAGATTTTAAAAAAGTAGTACATCACTTTTGGATCTTCGAAATCTGAATAACACCAAATTCCAATTGGCCTCCAAAGTCCAAATCAGAGATAAAGATCAAACTCTAAAGACCATGCTTCTTCTCTACCTCTAGCCTCCCAACTTTCTAAACAAAATCTCAGCTGGTGTTTGAACTCATGGTTGTTGTGCAAGCCTCCAAGATCAATCTGCCAACACCTTCTTCGCTTTACTACCCACAAACAACCTCCTTTCTCTTTGAACCCCACTCCCTCTCCCTTGCCCTCATGCACTCTGACTCCTCGTTTTCCCTCTTTTCTTCCCTTTCCTTTCCCCTTCTTTCCTTACCCCAGGCTCTCACTATCCCTTCTCCTTCCTCTTCCTCCTCTTTCCTCCTCCTTCAAGAAACCCAGGAAGACCCCAATCCTAGAGTCCTCTTCATTGTTGGAGGTCCGCATAAAGGTACCTCCAAGGTCCTCCTCAGGTTTTATCTTTTAAGGAATAATGAAAGTAAGGTTTTTGATAGGGCAAAGGTTGTTAGCAAGCAAAAGGGTATTGATTTTGATGATAAAGTTGGAGTTTTGTTGGATGTTAATCATGGGATGAAGATTTCCATTGTTGGGTCGGTTAATTTTTTCGCGTTGTATTCACTTTCGGACGCCAAAGTTCTGATTTTTGGGGTTAAATTGGTGGGGGATGATGATGCGGTTGCGGTGAAGCTGATGAGGTGTGCTGTGATTGAGTGCTGCAGGCCGGTTTTTTCCATGAGTATTTCTTTTGGGTGGTTGATTTTGGGGGAAGAAAATGGGGTTAGGGTTATAGATTTAAGGGGTTTGGTGAAAGGGAAGACGAGAAGAGTAAAAAATTTGGCTTCCAAAGAGAAATTACTGAACGTGTCGAATTCTCTGATTCGAGATGGTGATGACTTTGGTGGATCAAGTTCAGAGATTCCTTGCAACGGTTCTTTGGATGGGAAAATTGAAAAGCATTGTGTTTCTGGTGAGTTTTAGGCATTCCTTTTAAGCTTTATCATCTTGTTTATGAGACAGTAGAATTATTGTTTTGGAAGAATTTGAAATTTTGTGGATATTCGCATTTGTTTCATGACTAATTAAGCGTACTTGGAAAAATGCACGTTAATATTAGTGCATAATAGTTCTTATTGCACCTATGGTAACGTTCTTTAAGCTAAGCATTGGGTATTACAAACCTGTGTAGCACTCTAGATTCTGGAATGCAGCCGGATAGCTGATTTTAGGAGTTGACATCAATCAGTTTTGTCATTGCACAAAGTGATTATGTTCAGGCAGTGTAGGTCATGCCCGCAAAATTTTCGATATATATTCAGTTGGATGAATTATAAGAGCCAGAAAACTGTTTTAAGTAGGAGGTTCTTTAATCTGAGAACATTATTACAGGAGCAACCTTTATTATTTGCTCATATCCAACGCCAATAATCTCTTCTGCTTTCCTTCCTTCCCCCCCTCTCTACTTGAGTTATTTATTAAGATTCAAAAACTGGAACTAAGGATGTAAAGAAAAAGCAGATGTCTTCTTAGCAATTATTTTCATTGTATGAGAAGTGGCAATTTGATTGTACCTTCTATCTATCTACCATATATTCTGGGCTAAGAGAAAGAGATGCCAATAGGTTTAATGAATCCACTGCATTTAGCCATCTGTTGGTTTCAAGCCTTATTCTCCAAAGTAAGAGTTGTGGGCAAACACTAATGCTGTATAATTGAGGTAGCGTGGAAGATTATCTAGCAGGTGATCACAATAATTTAGAAAGAAACTGTTGATGGAGGATGATTATAAGACATTAGATGCCAAATTATATGCGTTTGGATGTGGTTATGTGTGTGTTTCTGTGAGGGAGAGAAAAGAGCAACCATTTGACTGTTGTTCTCTTTATATTTAAAAACTTTTGAATGTGAATACATATTGCAACTCTTTAAGTGTCGCTGTTGCTAACATTGGAAAATTGCAAATCTTTGATGATATGGTTTGCTTTAACTTCAGATAACTAGCTTTAATCAGACTTATTGTTAGGCACTTGCAATTAAGTATTGTAAATTCATATCTTGTTCTAATTCTCTCTAACAAGTTGTTTTAGGTACTTCTTTTTGTCCAGGTAGTGGGGCTACTCATATTAAGCAAGGTGCTGTCCTTGGTTTAAATCATAAAGATGCCTCTAGATGGTAAATTACCAATTATTAGAATAATCATTTGATTGGTGGTTGTACCCTGTTTTCTCTTACCCAAGGTTCTTTTTTTGGCCAACTCTGACCTTAGGGTCTAGCCGGTGAATGTTACTAACTCTGTTTCTTTAGCTTAGTGGGTTATCATGAAGTTTCCCATTTGGTACCTGGACAAACCAATTATTCATCTAACATATGCATACATGAAAGCTTTAAGTTTAAGATATGTAAATAGATGAGAGTGCTATTTTTTCTCTCCCAGCTAACAATGTATTTTATTTTGCAGCAAAGCTAAGGTCTATAAAATACATACAAGAAACTGATGAAAGTGGTGCATGTTTTGTGGCATTTAAGGAAAAGGAGGTTAAGGGCTTGGAATCTACAGCATTGCCAAAGATGTCTGTGAAGACAATTTCAATCCAAGCACTATCACCCAAGAAATTCTTGATCTTAGATTCTTCTGGAGAACTATGTATCTTGAATGTGCATAAAACTGCTGTTGGATTCAATATCTCTTGTCAACTTAGGCAATTGCCACAGAGTCTGAAAGTGCAGAAGTTGGCAGTTTTCCCTGAGATGTCCTCAAGTAAGCTGCTTTTGTTATTATATTTTCCTTTAGGTTTTTTGACTTATTAGTTTCATGTTACAAGCATTGGCTTGACCAAATGTGTCTTGAAATCATGAATAATGGACAACAACTGACTTGTAAGTAATAGGTATGAGCAAAAGGAAGGAAAACACTATTTACTCTTTAGTGTTCCCTTAAGTTTTTAAATTTTAATAATCTTTAACTAAAGTTTCATAGAACAATATATATATATATATAATGGGCATCACAGGACAAAGTATGTGCCAGTTAATCTTTATACAGTCTCATATTTGTCCTCATTTTGCAGGAATACAAACTATTTGGATATCAGATGGATACCAGTCGGTGCAAATGATGGACATTGATACTACCTATAATGAAGATGATGGAAGTGAGAGTGAGGGAAAGCTAATGCAAACCTCAGGTTTCCTCAACTGCCCATTTCATTAGTTCAATTCTTTGAATAATAATAATAACAACTCTTTAATCTGCTGCCATTGTCTATACAATTCTTGTGACTGGCTCAAGGCTGGTCCACTAAAATGGTTTGCTTCTTAGCAAAATTCTATGGCATTGGGGAAACTTATTTCTAAAATTACTAATGTTTGTCTTCATTTTAGATGTTGTATGCCATATTGGGTGTTATAGTTTAGCTTCTTGTTTCCATAGACTCTTTAGTTGGTGTTTTTAATCTGTTTTCCTGTTTCATTTGATAGTTAGTCAAGCAATTTTTACTAGTGAAAAAGTCCAGGACATGATACCCACAGCTGCAAAGAGCATTTTGATCCTCGGACAAGGTAATCTCTGGTTTTATACAATCAGAAGTATCATTGTTGATAGATGCTACTACAAATTAAATTGTTGATATAAAGTGTTAGTTTTTATCTAAATCATATTGCGTTTGAGAGAAATTTAACTTTCTTACTAGTACTCCTTTACTACCCAAATGAAAGATACAAAAGAAGAGAAGCTGGCAGTAACATGGATAGGTTTTTTTCCCTCTTTGATTGCTACTGTATGTATTGTGGCCAAAAAATAATAATATAATCTAGTTTTCCCCCCCATGGAAAAATAGGACTTTAAATGCTACATATGATTTTATTTTTCTAAGAAAATGTGATAAGTATTCTTGGTATCAGGCTGTTGCCCCAAATTTTATTTGATTGTCTTGTTGAATGTAATTTCATGAAGATACTCTTCCTTACAACATACTGTTTCTGACATCTTAATTTCTTTTGTCTCATCTCTCTTGTAGCAAGAAGCTTGTATGCATATGCAGTTTCTTGAAGTTGTTTTGCAACATCCTCTTTCCTGTGGTGAGCATTTCTTGTGATTCGTCCCTATGTGATATTTCCTGTTCCTTTCTACTGATATTCCCTATGCTTTTGTAGGACATGATGCTGAGGGCCCTGTTATGTTTTGCCACTTTGAGTGTGTTCCTGGACCAGTGTTCTTATAATAGTAAGTCTTTTGAAAAATTTCATGTGTCTGTCATGTATTAATTTGTAATGTGCTGATACTAACACGAGCTTCTTGTATTATAGACTTCTGTTGGCCATTTTGTAGTTCTTTAGCACCATGGTTTCTGAAGTCAACGGCTGCAGTTATCTCATAGACCTGATGGTGCTTAAGAGCTTGAGATACCTGGTCTTGAAGGTATGCAATTCCATGATTTCTATCTTACTGATAAATTAAAGTTGCACACTCCTTAGATTTAAGCAAGATCCAAGCATTGATTTTTACAGTGGTACTGAAATAGCATGCCTACATTGATTTAATGATTGCACATACTTGTCATGCATCATAAAAAAATAAAAAATGAAATAGGTTGCATATACTTTGATAACTGGCATAGGAACAAAGGTGCACTCTTTAAATTGAAGCAAGTCAATGATAGATGTTGCCATGAGGAGGGATTTTGGCATATATCTTTTGGAAATGAAGGGTCAGTAACTCATGATGGGTGTAAAGCTATAGTTTTGTGGTCTTACTATATTTACTTATAGATGATTGTTGAGAACTCACATCACGATGGCACAAAAGCTATATTCTAGTGGTCTTGTCACTATCACCCTTTAATGCTGCATCTGTCATTCATATGCACTATGTTTTCAATGGTTTTGCATAAACTCTTGTCGGTTGACATTTTAAGCCTAACATCATTGTCAAACTTGTCAACAGAAAAATAAAAAACCAGAGTACGCACAAGATATTCCCTTTTTATTTTAACTTATTGATTGCAGTCATCATTGCATGCAGAACAAGCAAAGGATAAGCTGCTGGTAGTCTAAATTGACTAATTGAATAGCATCTTATTGTTGTTGTGCATTATTCTGTTGAGGACCATTTGATCAATGCTTAAAAATTAAAAATTAAAATTGTTTAGTGGTAAGTAATCCTCTTTTCTTTTTATGAAAATCATTCTGGAATTAATCGTTTACTTCTGTAAGTCATCTTGGTTCACAATTATCTTTTCAAGTTTCAATTGCCTCTGCCTGTTCTCAGCTTCATTTGTTATCAATAGAGCCATAACCTATTTTTCTGTAACACAGAGAATCATGGGAACAGTCAGATGCCTGTCAATGGAGTTCTGAATCCAGAAAAATCAAATCTCCTGAACAACTGGGAAAGCAACATCTGCTGCACAGGCTGCTTCCGGTGGCTCAAAAATTTACAACGGCTATATAATCCAGTTGTTTGCTGCCTTCAACCTGTGTTTAACTGTGGAGCTCAAAATGAATCTTGGTTTGTCAACCAGATGAGTGAGGCAGCACCAATCAAACATTGTAATGTGAGAGAGCTTCAGTTGATACTCTGTTGCCAGCTAGCATTTGATTTTATGGATTTCCAAGAATTTAAACAAGGGTTTTTTTTTTTTTTTTCTTGACCATTAAAATTAAAACAGAAAATGGGAGAGGGGGTCCACTCTTATAATCGATTAGCTCCATCTATGTTGGTTTCTAAGATTACAAATGCTGGTTTCCTTTGCTTGTGTTTACTTTGAAAGCACACTGCTTAGTTTCCTAGTGGCTTGAGCTTGAGTTTCTAGTCAGTAACCATATTTAACCCAAGAAATTAAGCAGGCTGTCTAGCCCATGTGGTCACCCTCTTATGTGAGGTTGTGATATGGGGTTGGGATATGGCACATGGTCTGGGTTTCAAACCCAGCCAACTACATCTCCACCCCCAAAATAAGTAAATATTCTCCTTGTTAAAAATAAATAAAAGGAGAGAGAAAGGTTCCTGCTAGTGCTAACTTCTAGATAGTTCTACCCATAAACGTTTTTGCTGATTATGCTTTGGATTTGGATTCATTGCTACTTGCAAACACTTTCTCCAAAAATCCTATTTTCCGGGCACGTGATAAATAGAATTGCGAAGGCTCACACTCCGGCCGCGGGACAAATAGAATTGTGAAGGCATGTTACACATATAGGCATTTTGATCCCTTTAAATTTTAATTTGTTGTAGCTTAAATTAATTAACATTTTTAAGTATTGTATGGTTGTGAAAGAAGAAGTGATGTAAAAAGCAATTTCAAACACAGTTTTAGACAATAAAAATTAGGTAGCATGGTTCCGTACATAACTATATGAACAGAAATCCTGGAAAGAAATGCAGTTCTGATGCAGGAAACAGTAGTAGAGACTGGTTTGCAATAATATCAATGCACAAAAAGAGAAAACAGGTATTTGGGTTTTGAATAGGCAGAAGGTGCAATTCAGCCCCTCTACGTCCATTGTTGTGGCGCATCAGCCCCTCTACCTAAAAGTAGAGCAAATCAGCCCCTCCACTTGACAAAACCGGCAAATCAGCCCTTCTGCTGAC